CGTCCCTGCTGCCGGCCCTCGTCAAGAGATTTCAAGGGAGAGCACTCCTGGGCAGGCCGCTGAGATACGAGAGCTAATCACGAGAGTGATTGAAGTATCTGAAAGCAACTGTTTGTTGAGGGAATACGACATCAAATGCTCAAGAGAAAAAAAGCAGTGTATGTCAGAGTTGGGGCAGTGGGAAGAGGTGCTGCTGTCACACCTGCGGCCCACGGATCGAATCCTGGAGTGATGTCCCTTCATACCACGCAGGCCTTCCTGTCTTATTCGTCTCCTCGTCCTTCTCGTCTCCGTCGTAAGGACTTTATGTTCGGTTCGCTTCGCTCTTTCATCATCAGTCAGTTCGGTATCCACATTCATTATGCGTATGTTAGCTTAATCAGCTTATTCTATTGGTTAAAACCATATGCTCTGAGTAAAAGTAGAATGCGTGACACTTCCCAAAAGGAATGTTCAGCACCGAATGTTTTCATTTACTTTCATTTATTTTTTATTCAGCAGAATCATTAACTTATGACTCAAGCCATAGCTGAGCGCTACACATAATTACGATGCATATATTACAGGGACTACTTTCCTTGTTCAGATACTGAAAGCTAATTGCTATTGAGATATAAGCTGGAGAAGAACGCGCCCTGACCTTGGTTGACAAAACCATTATTTACGCCGACAAACACTATTATAACGATCCAGGATGGGTAACAAATGCGTGGCGCATCCTCTAGCTCTTCTTACTTTATCATTGTTTGCCAGCGGAGGTGTAAACTTTAGTAATGGCACCAAGCGGCATCTTTGACGCTATCGCACTCCTGCCACGCCTTGTCTCTTCAGTAATGGTTTGTTTGCTCAAATAGAACAATATCAGTTGACTCGAAAACGATCAGCAGCTTCGTGTTACGTAGCTTCGTTCCCTCTTTGTCGATTACCTGGGTGAAATAATAGGAACTTCCTAGAACCTCCCCAGCGGGATGTGGACGGGAAACAATTCAGCGGCCTAGGTTTCTATTGATTGAACCTGATATTGGTAATGACCTCTAGTGTTAGTTCAGACTAATTTAACAAAAAAGTAATCCTTCTGGAAATGCGCTTAAAACGGAGCTAATGTTCGCTGAAACGAGGAATGCAGAGGGGCTAATTTTGACCAATATTTATTGCCACCATCTGATTGTTGATTGTTGTTTTACTTGCTGCAGTCCGGTTGAGAAACTGTCACAAGAATGGTGAGTTATGGGAAAACCTCGGGCTCAAGTGAAACTCGAACCCGCACCTCCGCCTGTGGCCAAGATTTTGTCCACAGTTCAGCACTTTTGTTTTTGGTGTTTTGTGAAGCTATCATTTATTATCAGTCATACGGAGCTTCAAGGTTAGGTAATGAAATTCAAGTTTTGGT